ACACACACATATATATATATATATATCTTCTCCCTCCCCCATTACTTCCCTGTCCTCTCCCCCCCACTCCCACGCAAACATACTTTACTAATTCAGAACTTGAGCCTCTATTGTTTGGCTTCTTAAAATTTCTAGTTGATTTTCATATCACCTTTCTGTGTTCCAACCATCCTATAACCTACTTACAGTAGTATCTGCTCTTTAGGAATGCACTATAAGATGCTGAGATTTTTATGCAGGTGATTGATGGAGAAGAGCTCACAGAAGAAAATCTGAGGAAATAGGATTTGGAAGGTAGAAATGTAGGATTGGGAAGGTAGAAATGTAGAATTGAGGTGCAGTTTCAACGGAGGCCTCGGTCTCTTGGGGAACTCCAAAAAGCTGACCCACAGTTAAGACAAGAGAGCTGAGCTCTTGTAATCCTGTTTGGAGTAGATGTTAAATGTGAGCTGCCCTGGGTGAGGCAGCTTTCTTTTTCTGAGAGTAAGATCTGGAGATAACTAGATGTGAATCATTAGTAGCAAGTACTCTGGCTTTTGGAAGCATGCATATCTTAATTATGAAGAAGATTCTGGATGGTATATCAGAGAATCCTCTAGAATCCACTTTTCAGAATGCTCAGGTCTCTTGCTTCATACAGGATGTTCACACCACCTGGGAGACTCTCCAGGATTCTAGTTTGTCTCTTTTTCTGAAAGACAGTAGGATGCAAAACAGTCCTTGTCTCTACGGCTGGTGTGAAGTTCACACCTCATATCCCTCTACTACCAATTCTAGATTCCCTGACCCTCATTCTAGCCCTACCGCATGTCTAAATGGCCCAAGGGGTAGGCTGAAAGTCCCTCATATCTAAGAGGTCTATGTCTTGGTCACCATGCTCTTCTCATATTACACCTGCAGTACTTGTACATTTACAATAAAAATGGGGTGGAGGAGTACCAGGGGATATCCCAGATGATCACCAAAGATCCTTATAAGAGTATCTATTGGCTTAGAAAATGGCATTTCATGTTTGTAGTGTATTGCCTCTGTAAACCCACATATGGTGGTACTGGCTGAGACTTTGTGGCAGGAAAGGATAAACCCTATCTGGAATATGTGGCAAATTCTTCTCAATATGAATTTTTGCCCTTTCCAGTGTCAAGAGACTCCTTTTGTAATAAACTCGCTAAGTATCTGGTTGAAATCTAAGAAACAGTGATACATCAGGGACTCGGCATTGGTGTCTATTGCTGGCAGGTGGGACTCTCATCTACAGCTGTACTGAGCAGCAACTGGACCCATTAGTAGCCTCTTTGGCCTCTATTCATTATAAAACAATTGTGCTGGCATTTGTTTATCTGGTGGCAGAGGTTTGTTGACATTAAATGGGAGAAATCTGTTTACTTGGTTATTAAATGCCTCTTCTGTGGATGGTATTCTCTGGTGGCCATTAATGTATAATACAAAGATCTTCCCATTTTGTGCTCTCTCCCATATACCTACCCATATGCTTATTTTCCAGAATTGTGATTAATAGTCTAATCTATCTTCCATGGGCACCTGAGCAACCAGTTAGGTCAATCATCACTACCTACCAATTTATGTTCTCACCTAGTTTTACTTCTCTTTCCATACAAATTAGATGGCCAAGGTGTTACCCAAAGATTATTGCTCACCAGTTTATGTTTTCTGGCCTTGCTTGTGCTCAATTCAAAATGTACTACTTCCCTCTTAAAATGGGTTGATGCTGGGAGAACCTAATTTTATGACTTTGTGGATCTGACAGAGGATGATTAAAGTTAGGTCACTGAAGAATAGTGAACTAATTAGAGTAGGTGGAGGGTAGGCAGAGAAGTGGATGAGAGGTAGGTAGGGACAGGAGTATAGACAACTCTTTTGAGGAGTTTTCGTAAGAAGTGGACCCAAGAAGTGGAGGGGTTGCTAGAGAGATGTGGAATCAAGGAAGTTAAGTTTCCTTATTAAGATGGGAGACATTAATAAAGGTACATTTGTATACCTGAGAATTATTCATTTATAAAAGAAGAAATCTGTGTAGGAAAGAAAAAAGTACAAATGCAAGGAGGTTGGTAGAGGGATTATTAAGCACTAAGGTGTTTCTTTTTTATTGTATTTATGTTTTCTTAGAAAGTATGAAGCAATGTCTGTAGCTGTAGGGATGAAAAGGAGGAGTAAAGGTATTTGAGGTGGAAGAGAAAGTGTGAAATAGGTGACAGAAGCCATAAAAACTGAATTTCTTAAAACATTACAATAGGATTATTTTCTGAATAAGTATCCCATTTGAGTCTTCAGACACTCACTCAATAAATTTTATTAGGTATCAGGATTGTCTTCAGCCCACTCTTGTCCAGATAAATGTTATGAATTAATACTGGAGGCAATATGTGGTTCTAGAATCCTTTCTGTTCTTCCCCATGTTACGGGCCATGTTTCAGGAAAAGCACAGAGGGCAAGACTGCACCATAACTGATAATAAAAAGCATTCTTCTAAGCCTACAAAACTAGATTCTGTGGGCAAGAGTTTTGTCATACAGATTATTTAAGAATCCTAGAAGTCTTTAAGTGCTTAACAATAATCAATTTTCTCAGGTTTTCTCTAAGCCACCCTCTACTTTCACGACCTCCCCAAATATTGATTATGTTTTAACAGCAGTTTCCATTCATAACTGGTTGTTTATGATTAGCTAGTTTCGAGGTATGGACCATCACTGAAATGTCATAAACACTTACTTTTGACATCTTTAAGTTAATAAGAGGATGATTACTGAGCCTTTTTTTTTTAAAAAAATAATGCATCCTGCTGGTTAGGAGTGATGGGAAAGGAAACATTGGAAAAGCATATGATGGCTTAATGAAGTTTTAGACAAAGAAGTCAGTCTGTTTGCAGCAGCAATTCTTCCAAAAAATGGCTCATTTGGCTTTGGTCAATCCTATCTAGATTTTATTTTTAGAAAATAAAATTAACCTAACAGCTGTGGCCTACTGGTCAGCTGGGGCATCCATTTTATCAGTGGTCCTGTTGTATCAGGACCCCATATGCTTCCATTCTTAGTATATCCTCCTAAATGACAATCTCTTAGTGTTGAGGGGATTAAGATTTAATGTCTTGAGATAGTTTTCAAAAATCTCACTGATCTTAAATCTAGGATTAACTTTTCTAACACTTGGTGGTATTAGTTGTGAGACTTTTCTGTTTTCTAAACTTGAAAATATGCCTTTAAGTATGACTAAATGCAATTTCTAGAGGACACAGCTTCTGTATCACAAAAGACAAGAGTTGAAATAAACATTAACATTTATGATTTTCTGGGTTTTGAGTTTTCACTGACCAGTAAATTTTTTAAAATGTGGGAATGCTGGGAAGTGATAAATAGAAAAAAATTGCCAATTTCTAATTTTGCCAATTAAGAACATTAAACCAAATGAAATAAACAATATCCATCCCCTAAATACTCATATACTATTATCCTCTTCATTTTTAAAGAAGTATAATTCAGTACATCTCATCCAACATTCCTTATCTAATGTTCTCCACGATTCTATCTAATGTCTGACATTTGTGTAAAGAAATTTAGAGAGGACACACCATTTCTGTAGATGTTTCTGAAGATTATATTAGGTCTTTTAGAATTCACATCACATTATTTTTCATGACTATATAACAAACATTGCTAAATTGAGAGATTTAAAGATACAATACAGTTTCTGCCTTCGGAGTTCACAATTTAGTAAGATACATATATAAGCAATTAAAATTCATGTGGTAAGAGCAAGTGTAGAATTCGACATACTCAGGATGCACCAGGGATTGGGCAGGGGCATCTGGGTCAATTAAGCTTTCTGGAAGTAGCTCTTTAGCTAGGGTAAGAGTAAGAAGGTGGGCTAAAACGTGGCTCTATGATATGTGTCAATAATGATAAATACTACTCATGGAGCTTACTAAGGGTCTTTATATGCATTATCTCATCTGACCCTTATATCAATCCAAAGAAGTAGATATTACTGCCTAAAATTTACTGAAGCTCAAGGACCTTCAGCATCAACCCTCAAAGCCACTCGGCTAGGAAGGGGGAAGAAAAATCTGTGTTGGAAACCAAGCCAATTTAACCTGTCCCAAAACCCATGCTTATAATAGCTACAAAATATTGTTTAAGCACAGTGTGTTAAGGTCTTATGCGATTCACGAAAACCCCTATAAATGCTAACCTAAATATTCCTTTTCTGTACTTGGTAGTTGTTCCTCAGTTTGGAAAGCAGGAGTCTGCATTAATTGCCATCAAATGCTTTTTATTAGTAGAGGTCAAGGTAACTGGTATTGTAGAAGACTTCTCATTCAGTGAAAATGAAATTTCAAAATGGAATATTTGTCTTGTGTTCAATATTTGGTATAATTTTAAATTTTTTCATAAGCAATAAATCCCCATCCCCTTTTCCCAAGCCCCTAAATCCACTTGGTATAGCTGTAAAATAATTATTTTTGAAAACAAGCAAACAGGCTAGTATGAAGGTAACATAAATAATAACAAAAAGTTCATTTTATTCTGGTAAATGAATGGAACTGGAGACTCTCATCTAAGTGAAATAAGTCAATCCCCCCAAACCAAAAGCTGAAAGTTCTCTCTGATATGCAGATGCTAACACACAATAAGGGGGTGGGGGATAAAAGTTAATTGGATTAGACAAAAGGGAATAAAAGGAAAGGAGGGAGGTTGGGAATAGGAAAGATACTAGAATGAATCGGATGTAACTTTCCAATGTTCATATGTGAGTACACCACCAGTGTAACACCACATCATGTACAACCATGAGAATGGGAAGTTATACTCCCTATGTGTATAATATGGCAAAATACATTCTACTGTCATGTATCACTATAAAGAATAAATTAAAAAGTCCATTTTAAACCTTGCCTTATAGATATCTAGCTGTTTTGTTATATTTGGGTTTTGGGAATGAATCCTAACTTTTTTCATATTATGTATTTGCTTTCTTTTCCAGATTCAAGTCAAGTACACATTGTTGTTGTCGTGTGTGTGTGTGTTGGTCATCTATACATGTGAAGAAATGTAAATAGATGTGAAGAAATGCCCAAGTAGGCTGCCCCTTACTGTGTCAAGATCCTTTGCCAAGAGACTCACATAAGCTTGAGGTCAATGGAAAAGCAATGCTCACAATTTCATTTGGGGGAGACTGAGGGACTGCTGACTTTGCAGCAGGCATTATAGCCCCTAATCAAGGAGGATCAATTAGCTTCCTTGGAGTCCGGGTGACCATTTTATCTTCTTTTGGTCCCTAAAGTCACCTTACACAGTGGGAGACCTACACAAGATGTTGAAAGGAAATGTATTAAATCAAAATGAATTAAACACAGACTACGAACCATAACTGTTTTGCTACTTTGGAAAAGTATAGTGACTTCCTCGGATTTATTTCTTTGCTATTATATTGCTAAAACTTCTAAACACTGTACTGGTTCTTAAAAACAGCAAGAGGAGAACAAGTGAAACTACATTTCACTCTGGAGCAAATCTTTGCTGAAGAAGAGTATCAAGGAGAAAGTGAATGAGATAGAGTTTAAATAACTATGTCAAGAAGGTGAAGAAATATAGGGAATCAGAAGAATTATAAAAGTTTCTGGAGAGCTCTCTTTCACTGTTCTTTATCATATCATGACAAATATGTTGAAGAGGCAAGGCTGAACGCTGGAGCCAGCACCTACAGACCTTTCTTGGTAAGATGCTGATCTTGCTCCTTTTAAATATGATTATTTATCCCTGTATATTCTGTTTTTAGGTCTTTTGGGTATAGTCCGAGAAGAGGAATAGCTGGGTCAAACGGTGGTTCCATTCCCAGCTTTCCAAGGAATCTCCATACTGCTTTCCAAATAGGCTGCACCAATTTGCAGTCCCACCAGCAGTGTATGAGTGTACCTTTTTCCTCGAATCCTCACCAGCACTGTTGTTTGTCTTCATAATGGCTTCCATTCTTACTGGAGTGAGATAGAATCTTAGAGTAATTTTAATTTGCATTTCTCTGATTGCTAGAGATGATGAGAATTTTTCATATATTTGTTGATTGATTGTACATTCTCTTCTGAGAAGTGTCTGTTCAGGTCCTTGGCCCATTTATTGATTGGATTATTTGTTTTTTTGGTGCTTATCTTGTTGAGCTCTTTATATACCCTAGAGATTAGAGCTCTATCTGATGTGTGAGGGGTAAAAATTTGTTCCCAGGATGTAGGCTCTCTATTCACCTCACATATTATTTCTTTTTCTGAGAAAAAACTTTTTAGTTTGAATCCATCCCATTTGTTGATACTTGGTTTTAATTCTTGTGCTATACGTGTCTTATTAAGGAAGTTGGGACCTAGCCCCACGTGATGGAGATTATAGCCTACTTTTTCTTCTATTAGACACGGAGTCTCTGGTTTAATCCCTAGATCCTTGATCCATTTTGAGTTAACTTTTATGCATGGTGAGAGATAGGGATTCAGTTTCATTTTGTTGCATATGGATTTCCAGTTTTCCCAGCACCATTTGTTGAAGATGCTATCATTTCCCTAGTGCATGCTTTTGGCACCTTTGTTTAATATAAGGTAGTTGTAATTTTGTGGGTTAGTCTCTGTGTCCTCTATTCTGTACCATTGTTCTACCAGCCCATTTTGGTGCCAGTACCATGCTGTTTTTGTTACTATTGCTCTGTAGTATAGTTTAAGGTCTGGTATAGCAATATCACCTGTTTCACTCCTCCTGCTTATAATTGCTTTAGCTATTCTGGGTCTGTTATTTTTCCAGATGAATTTCATGATTACTTTTTTTATTTCTATGATGAATGCCACAGCCACATCAATGTTTATAGCAGCACAATTCACAATAGCTAAACTGTGGAGCCAACCTAGATTTCATTCAGTGGATGAATGGTTAAAAAAATGTGGCATTTATACACAATGAAATATTACCCAGCAATAAAAAAGAATAAGATCTTGGCATTTGCAGGAAAATGAATGGCATTAGAGAAGATTATGCTAAGTGAAGTTAGCCAATCCTCAAAAAACAAATGCTGAATGTCTTCTCTGATATAAGGGGGGTGACTCAAAATGGGGTTGGGAGGGAGAGCAAGGGAGGAAGATTACATCTAGATAGGGAATAGGGGTGGGAGGGAAAGGGAGGAAGAAGGGAATAAGCATGGATGATGGAAGGAGACCCTCATCATTATACAAAATACACATATGAAGATGTGAATTTGGTGTCAACATACCTTATATACAATCAGAGATATGATAAATTGTGGTATAAAGGTATATTAAGAATTGTAATGCAAAAATAATAATAATAAGAGAGCTCATGTATAATTGCATAATTTAGCATGAACACACTTTGTATACAGAGTTATGAAAATGGTGTTGTGAGTGGATAAATATGATTATAATGCATTCCACTATTGTCATGTATGTAAGAAATTAAAAAAATGATTATTTAACTAGTCTATATGATTATTTAACTAGTTATATCTTTTTAAAATGTTGTAGATTTATAGTTTATTATGATGAAATACAATTCCTATTATAGACTATTCTATAAGTGATTTGTTTTTTGTTTTGTATTTATATATGTTTTATAAATATATATATGAAGCAGAATGCATAATAATTCTTATTATACTTATAGAGCACAATTTTTCATATATCTCCAGTTTTATACAAACTATATTCACACCAATTTGTGTCTTCATACATGTACTTTGGATAATAATGTCCATCATATTCCACCATCATTTATAACCCCACGCCCCCTCCCTTCCCCTCCAACCCCTCTGTCCTATCTAGAGTTCGTCTAATCTTCCCATGCTCTCCCTCCTAACCCCACTATGAATCAGCCTCCTTATATCAGAGAAAACATTTGGCATTTGGTATTTTGGGACTGGCTAACTTCACTTAGCATTATCTTCTCTATAACTCCACCATTTACCTGCAAATGCCATGATTTTATTCTCTTTTATTGCGGAGTAATATTCCATTGTTTATATATGCCACATTTTAAATCCATTCATCTATACTTTATTTCTTTTTTTATTGGTTGTTTGAAACATTACAAAGCTCATGGTATATCATCTTTGACTCAATTGGGTTATGAACTCCCACTTTTACCCCAAATACAAATTGCAGAATCACATCGGTTACACACTCACATTTTTACATAATGGCATATTAGTGACTGTTGTATTCTGCTGCCTTTCCTATCCACTACTATCCCCCCTCCCCTCCCCTCCCATCTTCCCTCTCTACCTCCTCTGCTGTTATTCAATTCTCTCCCTTGTTTCCCTCCCCCTTTCCCCTCACAACCTCTTATATGTAATTTTGTGTAACATTGAGGGTCTCCTACCATTTCCATATGCTTTCTCTTCTCTCTCCCTTTCTCTCCCCCCACTCATCTTTGTTTAATGTTAATCTTTTCCTCATGCTCTTCCTCCCTGTTCTGTTCTTAGTTGCTCTCTTTATATCAAAGAAGACATTTGGCATTTGTTTTTTAAGGATTGGCTAGCTTCTCTTAGCATAATCTGCTCTAATGCCATCCATTTCCCTGCAAATTCTATGGTTTTGTCATTTTTTAGTGCTGTGTAATACTCCATTGTGTATAGATGCCACTTTTTTTTTATCCATTCATCTATTGAAAGGCATCTAGGTTGGTTCCACAGTCTAGCTATTGTGAATTGTGCCGCTATGATCATTGATGTGGCAGTATCCCTATAGTACGCTCTTTTAAGATCCTCAGGGAATAGTCCGAGAAGGGCGATAGCTGGGTCAAATGGTGGTTCCATTCCCAGCTTTCCCAGGAATCTCCATACTGCTTTCCAAATTGGCCTCACCAATTTGCAGTGCCACCAGCAGTGTACAAGTGTACCCTTTTCCCCACATCCTTGCCAGCACTTGTTGTTGTTTGACTTCATAATGGCTGCCAATCTTACTGGAGTGAGATGGTATCTTAGGGTGGTTTTTATACTTTATTTCTTTAAAAATTTTTATAGTATCCCAACAATTCAAGAGTATATGCAATTAGTTCTTATTATTCCTGGTAATATTCTATAATGTCCCTATGAAAACTGAATTAGTTAATTCTGAATCACTAGGTCCTAGAGGAAACACAAGTTCTTGCAAACCTCTAATCACAATATTTTCATTGAATAATGAATACATAACTTTGTTTTATGTGTATTTTTGTTTAAAGACACCTTATTTAACATATTATTAATACATTAAAATTGAGCTCATGGCAAATAGCACTATAGCACACCTGGAGGAAGTTTATTCAATACACACATTTTCTCCATAAGGCACATCACAGATTACTTGCATTTAGGATGTTAGTCAGTACTACACTTTGGGTCAGTTTCAGAATTTTAGATAGCAGAATCCTCAACAAAATGCAAAAGAAAAAATAAAGAAAAATGGCACTGAATTGATTGTGAAAGGACATTTGTTTAGAGTATAAGAGATGAAACAAGAAAACAGTGTGTTCCCATTTCTTATCTCAGCTGGGAACATGTTCATTGTGTTACCCAAATTTTTCACCACTCTATTTAGATTTACATTCAAATGCCTAAATGCCCAGTACTGATTTACAGGTCCACAAAGTTATTTCTATAAGTTGGTAAATTCACAAAAAATGATGATTAAGCATGCTTTATTTTATTATCTCATTGCTTTTACTCTTCTTAGAGCAATGAACTATTCTAGTCTTCTAAAACCTCTTGTCAACATCTCTAGAAATTACTGGTATGTATACTGTGATTCTGTTTGTCATATTTATAAGTTTCCTGTTTTGAATCTACGGAGGAACTTGAAGTCATTAGGAGCAAACAGATTAATTCTTACATTCTCTGTATCTAGCTCACCAATTTTATTCTATTCTTTTCAACATGGAGATATTTTTCCTTGAAAAGATAGAAATAAAACATAATTTGAGCCCTGTTTTCTCTTTGTTATCCATTAGTATTACGCCATCATTGCTAAGTTAATGCCTAAGTTCATTAGTATTAATAACTCATTATTTAATAAATTCCAAAGAATGATTACGTACTTGGCTTGGAATTATTATTGCAATTTAGCAAAGGAATAACCTGGATAAAACTTGAACCTAAACCAAATAGGCCAGATGGTTCCATTCATTTATTCAACAACTATTTATTGATCATCTGTTATATGTCAGGAAGTATGCTAGGTTCCATAGACAAAGAAATATATAACTATATATTTCTGGATTTGAAGGCACTCACACATTTAGGTGGTGGGGAGGGAGTGGAATTTTAAGTTGGAGAGGTGGAATAATCTTCAGTCAGTTTAGCACTAGAAAGAATATGGTCAAAAGAAGATTGTTTGGAGTCAAAATTTAAACATGATTTATTTTCATTCTTTGGTAGAGTTATTGGCTTAGTAAATCAAGGAATACTATACAGGGGATATATTTTGATTTTAGCAAAATACTATAATCTCATTACGTAATGTGACAGACACCTCAGTAAAATATTCAGGTCAGCACAACTGACCAAAACAGAATGAATATGGTGAGGTAAAATTTATAGTTGGTTGGATAACAAAAGTGTGATTAATTACTAAGTACTTAGTAGAAGACATGTGTTTCATGATGCCATGGGGCTTTGTCCTTGACACTGTCCTTTTCATTAATCTTGGTAAAGATGTGGAAGACATGCTCATCAAATATATAGATAATGCAA